TAAAAAAATAATATACAGCAAAATTATAATTCATATATTATTTCAAATTTTAATTATATTTAATTTATATAATTATTAATATATATTTAAAATTTATTTAAATTATAAATTAAAAATATTTTTATTTATTAAAATTCATTACTATTTTCAAAAAATATATAAATTAAAGATTAAAATAATTAAATATTATATTTTTAAATCTAGTATTATAAATTAAAAAATTAAAATTTAATAAATATAGCTAAAAAAGGTTTTATTTTTTTAATATTATATATATATAGATAGACTTTTTCTTTAAAATCTTTATACTAATTATTAATACAGGATTATTTTAAATTTTAATTCAAAATAAAAACTTTTTTTAAAAATACAATTCTAGATTGAATTATTTTATATATTATTTATATATTTATTTTTGAAATACAGATTTTATTATATATATATATCTAGAATAAATATCTTATTTAGAAATAATTAAAAAAATTATATATTATTTCTAGTAAGCTGTATATAAGTTATTATTTAAAATATATTATTAATTATAATCTTTTTATATATAAAAAGTTTTTTTAGTAGCTAAAAAACTTTATATAAAATTAAAATATAATTAAATATTTATTTATGCAAACTTTAAAATAATATTAAACATTTTTATTAAAATTTAATTTTAATTTTAAAAAACTACTATTAGTATATCTAGATAAAATAAAAATCTTTTTTTATATAATTTTGAGAAGAAACTGAGAAGAAACTGCTGGGTTTCAATCTTTCTTTAGATATCTCTCACTTCCTAGTTCCTACTCAAACTTAGTATAGAAATATATACAAAAGTTAAGTAGAAATAAGATAAATGTTAAAGATAAAAAGTAGTAAGGAATAAATAGAATTATATTAATCAGTCTGAATAATCCTGATAGTCTGAATTGAACTGGTGAACTGAACTAAGCTGAGCTGAGCTGAAAAATCATCAAATAACAGAGAAATCAAGACTATATTTATAGATATAAGTGAGTAGATTTCTTCCAGACTGTTTCCGGAATAAGTTAGTAGATTATATTGTTTGCAGGTGATAATTCTAGATTATACCGGTTACAGGTAGTTGTTCTGGTTGCAGGTGATTATTCTGATTGCAGGTCTTGTTCTGTATGTACCTCAGGCATCCTTGCCCTGGGCACCCCTGGAAGTTGATAAATTTATTTTAGCTTATAAAAGTAGATAATAATATATATATAATTAAATATTAAATCTAATCTAATATTATTTAAAATATTAAGTAAAATTTTTAATTAGATTAAATAATATATTTATATATTTTTTATTTATTATTTTTATTATTTTATTATTTATTTAAAAATTCAAAATCTTATTTTTTTCAAATTAACTATTATTCTACTACTAATTAATCTTATTTTATTTATTATTAATAATATCTAATCTGCTAGATAGTTAATTCTTTATCTAGAAAAATTATTTATATTAATTTTATTCTATTATTTAAACTATAATTTTTATAATTTATATAATCTGGTTTATATATACAGACTATCTGATTAACTAATATTAATCTTTATATAAAAGTATTTAGAGAAGAAAATATTTATTAAAATATTTTTTTATATGAAAAGATTTTAAAAAAACTAGCTAATAGTAAAATTACTATTTATTTTTATCTGTATAATATATAAAAAGAAGAATTTAAAAATAATATTCTAATCATTATATATATGTTACTTAATTTAATTTTTAATTTTTATTATTTATATAATATTAATTATATTATTTTATAAGAAAGATATAAATTTATATTAATAATTATATATTTTATAATTTTAATAAGTTTTTTAAAAATAAATTTTTTTTTTTATAATTAGCTGTATATATATATAATTTTAATAATTAATTTTATTTATTAATAAAAATTATATAGAAGTAACCAGTCTTTTTATTTTTAATAGTTAAAGATAATATAAGGATCTTAAATTTTATAAAAAAATAGTTTTTATATAATTATAGATTATACTAGCTTTATATAATTATTTAGTACTATATAATATTTTTTTTATTATAAATAAAATAAAGAAGACTAGAATTAAAAAACAAAATTAATTATATAAAAAAATCAGAATAATTTTAATATTTTAAATACTAAGATAAAGATTTTTAATTTTTTTTAAAAATATTAATTATTTTAATCTTTTTCTCTATTTTATTATATAAAAAAAAATATATATAATTAAAAAAAAATAAAAATCAGATAATTAAATATAGATTATTAGATTTTTAATTATATAATATATATATTTATATAAAATAAATAAAATAAATAAAATAAAATTTATAATAGTAAGACTTTTATATATATATAAAAAAATTAAATATTATAAATAATAAATATAATATTAATTTAATTTTATTAAATAACTTTTATTTTTTATTTTTATTTTGTATTAATATATCTACCATTACTAGTATTAATAGAATTATATATTTTTATTAATATATAAAAAAAATAATTATTATATTTAATTAAAACATTAAATTCTAATATAACTAGATTATAATTTATTAGTTTAAATTCTACTAATTTTTATATATTAATATTTATTTAAATATATCTATATTTTAGTTATATAAAATATTTATATATAATATTCTGAATTTCTGATTTCTGAGTAAGACATATTTTTTTATAATATTCAGAATTAATAATTATCTATATAATAAAGTTAAATAAATTATCTAATTATATATATACAACTTTATTTAGATAGGTATATTAGATAAGCTATATAATCTAATCAGACTTTATACTTATTCTGCCGGCAGTAAACACCAAGAAATTGTTATTGCCCGATGGCCGCTATTGCCCGCCGTACCCGGGTGTTACGGAGGGCTAAGAGATCCAGTTCGGCACATACTGTCGCGAGTTTGGCAACTGTACGGGAGAAGGAGTGCATTCTTGTATTAGAGTCGCTAAGAAAAGCAATTCCTTCACCAACCACTGTTCCCTGAAAAAATGATCTCCCCAGAGTTGGGATTAAGGGAGGGAAGAAGAAATGAATCAAAGGAAGAATCATCAATCAACCATGAAAAATAGTTGCACAATCCAGATGCAGGGATTTTTTAGTGACAGAAAATTGTTTAAATATCGATTAACAAAGAATATCTTTTGAGGAGCTGCGCTGCAAGGATCACAAAATTCGCTGGGCTGACTGTTGGTTTATCTATCAGCCAGACTGTATTCTACAGTACTGTATAGGTTGCCGTGGTTGGGGTCGGGCCGGGCAGCGAGTGGCTTACTTGGACTACGGTTCAACAGTACTATACCAAGGCAAAAAAATATAGAATTCATCATTGCTGATCAAACGAACTATGCAATCATTAATAATTTGTCGCAACCCGGTCCACATCCCATCTTGTCCGGATCGGATATAGAGATACGAACTTACGAGGTGGGTACTCCTAGCCTAGGATGTACTTGCACCCTGGCCCTAACTAACAGCCTCTTCCATAATCCAAAAATAATGTTTGTAATTTATATGCCCATCTCTATGGCAGCTATTATATGCTAGGTCAATCACATCCATCTAACTACTCAAATCCAATCCAATTAGCATTTCGACCGTCCTGCCGCCACGGCCCTTCTCCGTGCATCTCCTCCAACCCTCCTCCTTGCTCCCGCATTGCTCGCCGCCTCGATATACATGCTCCTCGGCCGCATAATTCTGATCCTGCGAGCAGAGTCCTATGTTATTTTCCGCAAGAGGTGGTTGACCAAGATCTTCGTCATGGGCGATGTCCTTTCGTTTTTCCTGCAGGGAGCGGGTAAGTTCGTCGACTGCGGTGTCTCACTCTCGATAGATTGATGATGATGATGCTGGATATTGACGCGTTCCAGGAGGCGGAATCCAAGCCAGCGGCACCCTAGAGGGCATGAAAAGCGGGGAACATATCATCGTCGTGGGGCTGGTCGTGCAGATCCTCTTCTTCGGCTTCTTCATGGTCACGGCCGGGGCCTTCGATCTGAAATTGCGACGATACCCCATCCCACGGTCCCACGATCCAACTATCCCGTGGCGCAAGCATCTCAACATTCTATATGTGACCAGCCTGCTGATCATGATCCGGTCGGTGTTCCGGTTGTGCGAGAACCTGCAGGGCAATAGTGGATATCTGCTGCATCACGAGATCTTCCTGTACCTTCTGGACGCGGTCCGGATCTTTTCGGTAATGGTTGTGTTTAATATTTACCATCCGAGTGAAATTACGCATCTCCTGCATGAGGGAAACGAGTATGAGTTGCAAGCTGACTATGGAAAGCAGAATGTGTGAAGGGGCTTGGGGGCGTTGCGTTGATGGTGTCCAAGGGGGGCAGAGGATGGAGCGGTATCTTAATTTGTACATTGTTTTGTTGTGTTCCTTATGGGACTTGTATGATTAAATTTTATTATTCTTCTTTTGCTTTTTTTTTTTTTACTTTTTCCCCCTACACGAGCGCTCTCAGTAGATAGGGATCTGAATCTTTTTGGTCGCTACCGCTAAGGACCGAGCGCAACCTCACTCACAAAGGGAGAAGTACCCATTATAATCAAACTAGCACCATATTCTATGATTGAATCGCCGCTTTCAAGGACTTTCGATCGCCAGGCATTAACTTCAAGAATAGTCCGGGTATAAGGGACTACTATACTTGGCCCATGAAGCACGGAGCAGGTTACGTTTCCCCGCAGAATCCCAGACTTCATCTGAACCGGAGAAACCGTCAACGATATATCCAAAGTCTGACCGGATTCGCCATATTAACCTCTCACTTCCAAGACACAGAATGCTTCATTAAACCCATCTTTATTTCCATATCGCTGTATCCCTTCGCACGGTGAAATACTATTTAGCTAGCTTTCTGTTGAGTTTCCAATACTCTTGGTGAACAGTCAGTTCACAGCAACCCGCTTGCGATGTGTAATTGGGACAGACGAGCCCGACGGGCCTCCATACCAACTGCCCGGTTAGCTCAATCGGTAGAGCGTGTGGCTGTAAGTTTTCCACTCCAACCCGGTCATTGCGCTGGAATCCATCAACTAACATTATCTCCCCAGTTTATGAAGCACACCTCAAGGTTGCGAGTTCGAGCCTCGCATCGGGCGTTTCTTTTTTTTCTATCTTTTCTTTTTTGGTGGTGAAATGTATGTATAGTATTTCCCGGTCTGCGAAGATAGATGCAGCTAGTAACTTCATCAACACATTCTCTCGGTGTGCTTGTTCTTTATTTTTTTTTTTCAATATTCAAATTTATGACATTTCGTCGAATTTGAACATTTCTTCCCCCCCTTCTCGTTTTGGGGTTGGTGATACGACAATGCTGGACCGCCTCGCTGGTATCCTTCCATCAGGTGTAAAGATAGAGAGAGTTGGGGGCTCTGAGGGATCGTGAGAGCCTGGTACACATCACATACATTTGAAGTGTTGGCATAGTCTGAGTCCTGAGATAGAGGGAGGAGTAATGAGTATAGAAGGAGGTGTACGCAATCGCGGCGCTTTCAATCTAGTATCTACCCCGCGTGATTGTCCAACGGATTTATTGGTTTAGAGTGGTTTACAGTGCGGCGATGGTTATAGTGATGCTAGATTTGTGCCAGACATGCCAGTGAGCTAACACCCAGCCGCACGCTCTTCGCCTGGGGGAGGGGGATTCTATCACCGTGGCCACCCATCCAATGTGGGCTAGACGCGACATTTGGCCTCGATGAGACCGTCGAACTTGTCCTGCTCGGCCTTGAAATCCTTGCCAATACTCGCCAGGTCATCCTCGGTCACGGCGCGGCGGGCGGCGGCGGCCTTGGCGAAGTCGTCGTCGTCGCGCAGGCCGCCGCCGGCAATCAAGTCCAGCAGAACCATGGGGGCGGAGCTGGGGTCGGAGACGATGCTCTGAATGCCGAGGGCGATGTTGCCAGTGGTGGCGACGGTCTCGAAGGCGCCATCCAGCACCTCCAGCTCGGGCGTGAGGTCGTCGAGGAACGGGATGAAGGCGAAGGCGATGCCCAGGATCTCCAGGATCAGCTTGATCTTGTCCTCCTTGGCCTGCTTCTCGCCGGTGGCCTTGACGCTGGCCATGGAGGCGATGGCCTGCTGCAGCATGAAGACGGGCATGGCGAAGGTGTCGAGCAGATCCTGCATGCCCCCGGCCCAGCCGCCGAGGTTGATGTCCAGCTCGCGCGCGAGCAGGTTGTTCTGCAGGCTGCCGATCGAGGGCAGCGCCGCGGTGATGATGTCCTTGGGGTTGGCCTTGACGGCCTGTGGGATGTTGACGTAGCGGTAGTCGGTGCCCCCCGAGCACTCCCCGGGGATGCAGTGGCCGATCTGGTGCACGGGCCCGCCCTGGTTGCCGAATTTCACCCACGTCTTGTTGATGCCGTACGTGCTCTCCAGCTCGCTGTAGAACCCGGCCGCGTCCTTCAGCGTGTACGTCATGATGAAGCTGTCCGCGCCCATCAGCTGGGTGTACCGGAAGGGGCACTGCTGCGTCGACGTCGGCCCGTAGCCCTGGCAGGTGCAGTCGAAGTACTTGTTGCCTGCGCCGCCCTCGGGCTGACTGGGCGTCGAGCCCGCCATGAAGGCCTTGATGGTGTCCGGGGCCATGTCGTGGACGTATTGCTGGTAGTACTTGAAATACTTGTCGTAGTCGTGGTTGGTCGCGGTGTAGTTGGCGAGGGTGGCATTCAGGGTCGTGTAGAGGGTGCCCATCGCGTAGTACGGCATGCATTGGTCCGGGTAGCTCCCCAGGGCCCCGTTGAGATCGTCGACCGTCGCGTATTGCTGGGTCAGATCGCACTTCCAGCTCGCCTGGCAGGCCGGGTCGGTGGAGTCGTCGTCGCACGAGAGGATGGGCTGCTGGTAGTCGTCCAGATAGGCGGCCAGCGCGCTCCAGTAGGGATGGGCGATGGCCTGCGTGTTGTTCTTGGCCAGGATGATGTTGTTGTCCTCTGTGTTGCTGATCATCTCCACGGCGCCGATCGTGATCAGGTTCCAGAAATAGAGCCCCTGGTTCTCGCCCTGGTCCAGGACCAGCCGCTGCTGGCAGTTCTGGGTGTCGACACAGGTCTCCAGGTAGTTGTCGTACCAGGAGTAGAGGCCGGCCCCGGCGACGGTCAGGTTCGTGTTCTCCTTCAGGATCACGGCCCAGGCGAAGTTGCAGAGCTCCGGCGAGGCGGTGCAGGTGGCGTCCGGAAACGTGGGATCGTTGGCGAACAGGCCCAGCGAGGCGTTGAAGGGCCCGGGGGACTCGGTGGCCTCGACGAACTGATAGTAGGGGGACTCGGTTTGGATCATGCCCGCCAGCGTGTTGGTATTGTTGAAAAAGTTATACTGGCAGAGGATCGAGTGCTCCGACGCGGTGCCGTACATCCAGGTCGACCCGGAAGTCGACTCGACCAGCAGCCCTCGCGCCACTCCGACGGTGATTTGCGTGTTCGCCGCGTCGTCGATGTCGTGGTCGGCCACCCACAGCCACATGTTCTCGAAGTAGCCGTTGGCCTCCGGGGTGATGTGCAGCATCAAGGACGCCGCCACGCAGCCGGACGCAATCGAGTCGCCGGTGGGTATTTATGCCTGGACTATTTCCCTACTGGCCCGCTCCCGATGATGTCCCGATACTTCGATTAAACCTCGATTAAGGTCTGTCAACTGAACCCGGGATGCCGCATCGCACCAATCCGGACCAGGGTATTCCAACGGTGCTCTTCCCGAAGCGCCCGGCGGTGGTGCCTGGCTTCCGACAATCCCATCGGCCATCTGTCGGTATCTTTCATGATCTGGTCGATTATCTCTTGCGGTAATCCGGCGGCAGTCAGATCCTTACTTACTGCCTCCATCCGCCAGTGATGCTGCTGCGGGGGCACATTGCGGGTAGAGCACACGCGATAGTGAGGGTCAATTAGATAGAGAGTGATGGAGCGGTAATGGCCTGGACGGCTGCCACCAGCGAGCATGAAGGGCTCGGCGCGGTGCTCTAGCAAGTTGGGAAAGGTTACCACGCGGCCCTGCGAGACAGCTACCGCACCTTTGTCCTGCCAGGTTTTTGCTCCCCAGTAATCAGCATCGAGGTTGCCTGGTGGATATCCCAGGATCTGCTCCAGTGCCACAGCTCTGATCCCTGCGGCGGCAGTTCCTTATCTTCGCTTCCAGCAACATCCCTAAACCCTTCTAGCCGTTCCAGTGCGCAGCAGTGCCTCTCGCGGCCCTCCTCCGTATCATCCCCCTTAGTAGTTTCCACCGCTTCTCGGGCTTTGCGGTACAGCTTCTTCCTTACCTCACTCGGGACTCGAAACGCGAGCAACCATTCCGGGAGCTCATTCTCCCACTCAACCCCATATGTAATGATACGCAGCGGCACCGGCCCCAGCTGGCTCTGATTAAGCCTATCGGTCCAGCCGCGCCGCCCCTGTACCAGACAATCATTCCACAACGGGATCGCCCTGCCCAGCAGCTCCTCAACCACACGATACAGCTCCGTGTGCGCTGGGTGCAGGTTATTGATATACGAGGTACTCCGCACCTGGGTCCCCGTCGTCCCCACAAACTCGACCTCGCACGGCAGAGCCTGATAATTCGCACTCCACCGATACGCCGTTCCTCCGTGGTGGGTATACACCCCGAGCTGCAGCAAACGCTTCAACCCCGGATCGACAATCGCCAGCACCCGCTTAGACCGCCAATCCAGCAACCCCCGCTGCATCAGCCCGCGGAGCACCGGACGCACCGCCCGTCGGAATCCGCCGGCTGGGGCCCGCAGCGCCGCACCGTCCGCCTTGCAGATGCAGGACCCGGCATCCAGCACGCGGATGTGGCCGTTCTGGCGGAAGTCCTCGGCCTTGTCGCAGAGTTCTCGCACACACCAGTCCCAGGCGCGGTCACTCATCAGCGGGGTTGTAGCACAGGTTGTTTCGCGCCAGCGCGCCACGACCGCCGTGTTGGAGACCTCGATGTGCCAGTTGGGGGAGTCGGTCAGGCGGTTTATCGTGGCGACCATGGCGAGCTCGCGCGCGGTAACGGCGGGCGCTTGCCGCCACTCTTGGATGCCGTGCGCGAAGCGCGCGTCCGATGGGAGTTCATGGTCGAGTGGGATGTCGTTGAAGCCGGGTACGCGGAGCAGGCTGGTACCTTGGTTGTCGTATGCGATGGACTTGTGCGCGGGTTCGGGCTTGTCTGGGCCCTCGGGGAGATCGTCCATGGTTGGTGGGGTGGGAGCTGTTGAGCAAATACAAATGGTTGGTGAGAATTGGGGGGGGGGGGATTGAAGTCTGACTCAGAAGAGGGGTGTCGTGGGTGTTAATATACTTTGACACTTTGTCCGGCCCTATTCTTTCCACTAGTGCGGTTGGCGGTAATTTGAAGATCTGGTGGAGTGGATTGCTCGGCCACTTCGGGATTCACAGATAAGACCCTGCAAGGATCATTCACAGGGTTTGGAACAGCACAGGTCGGCAGTTCTAGTACTAGTGAGTTCTGGAATTTCGTGAGTGGGGTTTCACAGTTGGTACTGCAGAAATGCTGATTGTGTACCTTTGTCACAACATTGGTGAATTCTGGAGGGCGGGGATGGAGAATATATTTCGGGATCATATTTACTGATAAGGTTGAATGGTCAGTTCCTGGCAGCTTCTATTGAAAGACTACAATAAGAGGTTTGCTTGATCCATATAATTTCTGTAGAAGGTTTATACAGTACTTACTTGGTTGTAATAGCTGTATAAGCATTAGCCGAGGTCTTGCTAGCACATACGACCACAGGGTGTGGAGAACAGGGCTTCCCGTCCGCTCAGCCGTACTTAAGCCACACGCCGGGAGGTTAGTAGTTGGGTGGGTGACCA